GAAATGAAGAGAAAAATTCTTTGAGAGGAAAATCTTTGTCAGGAAATTTCCTTATATTTGTCTAGGCTCAAGTTCGACTCTTCGCGGTTTAACTTTTGGTTTTGTTTTAAGTACTAATTAATCTCATTTGCTTAAAGGAAAGCAAATTAAGCACTGCGAAATCTTAAGTGCAAGTGGCTTTTAAATTCAATAAGACTACTCGTTTATCAGGGCAAAGGCTTGAATGTTCCGACTGCCCCTTAATCCATATCGAGTAGTTTTTGGGAAAAATAATGAAAAACTGAAAAGTCTGAACAAAATCAAAGTTCAAGTGTAAATTAGGTGTCCTAAATTTTAATACCAGTCAATTTCACACCTTACATTTTAACATCTAGTCATTTCGCAACTTAAATTAATGCTGTACGATATTTTATTTCTTATCACACCAAAGTTAATCCTGGTTAACGCACGCATCATATTAAAAAACTTGGTTTGTTTTAGTTATACATGCTTGAATGAGGCTTCCTAAATTACTTACCTCTTATCGAATTTATTTTCACTAAACCATTATGACTAGTAAAAAAACCTGCTTGTGCTATTTCATAACAATTCGACGTAAAATTTCTGACAAATATAAATTTCTGACAGTCACTTTATACTGTACTCCTGTGATAAGCAAACGCAAACCCAATAAACAAACTATGATTGAGTCTCCTTTCAATTATGATTGAGTCTCACAGTTTCATCTAAAAGTAATGAGCAGCCTGTAAAAAGACGCCGTCGTACAAAAATTTAACTTTTTCGATGCATCGAGTGTCCATAAGTTCTTGAAAAAGAAAAAGTTTCGTGTGTTAATTGAAAGAGTACAAAACATAGTGTCCATTTACGAAGACAAAACGTATTTGTATTTTTCAAAGCGTTATCTAGTTTTTATTAATCCCGAGTAAATTTTATTTCATTTTTGTTTGTTCTTTCGTATTATTTAAATTCAAAATTTAATCCTACTCAAACTTGTGTCAGCTTTTTTTGAAAAGACGTTTCTTTGCAGACTCCTGGAAATGTAACTAAACGCAAGAGTTTGACTCCTGCGCTATCAATTTATTCCCAGCACAATCTCTCTTATTTTCGGGTTGCTAGCTTAAGGCTAGGGGCTGGCAAACCCTTTAGTTTTTCGTTAATGTGTCAACAATTCAAAAAAGCTGACAAAGCGATCAGGTTATAGGCTTAAGTTCGAGAATGATTCTAAAAAGGAATGCTTTTTAGGTATTGGTTAAAACCCTTTTTTAAGTTTCTAAACCGGCTGAAAGTGTCTGGAAAATTAGACCATTTTAGTTAAAGGCCGTCTAATTATTTGAACTATTGCTTGCTAAGGTTCATTTTGAAATAATTCATTGAAATTATTGGGAAGGCCATTTCATTTCGTTTTGGAACGATTTATTGAAATTATTGGCAAGGTCATTTCTGCTCAAAATGTAGTCGGATTAAGTAGAAATTATCTGGCTTTAAATGGCAAAAAAAATTTCTCTTGTTTAATTCTTTGATGTTTACCGAAGTCCCCTTTGAAATAAGTTTTCTTTTCAGTTTGGATTAAAACACGGTGTTAAGTCAAAGAAATGGTTTTGAAATGCAGCGATGTTATATTGCTAAGGCAACAAAAAGTAGGGATCGAAATGAGTTTTTGATTGTATAATAAGTTAAGGATTGTATGGAAATAAGTTGCTTAGAGTTAAAAAGGGGAACCGTAAAATATTGATTCATACGAAGTTAATATGACCGATTAGCTAGCGTCAATTGAATTTGAAACGATTTTGTTGTACGGGATAATTCCCCTCGCATAAATATTTTGCGCCAACTTCCCTGCAAAAATTGATTGAAGGTAAAATATCTGCTTAGATGTAATTTCAGGGAGGCAATATCTTGAATGGAATGTCGAAGTTTTTGTTAAAAATTTGTAATTCGATTGCCGAAAATTGACTGAATAATAAATAATACCACCCCAACCATAAATATTCCGTTTTCTTTGGAAGTCGGAACAAAAAAAAAGATATTAGTTTTTGAATTCCCACTGTCTTATGGCTATATTATCAAAATTTCGGTATTACTTCTACTACTCCAATGCCAAAACTGTACCTAGTTGTTAGAATTCACAGAAGAATAAAAAGCGCCTAAGGATCATGTTAACTCAGATAGGGTTATTTTAATGAAAACAAAATCAATTAAAGAACCTCTTTCTGATCATCTTAAGTCGATGCAAGCTTAGAAAACTTTGATAGAATTGTTAATGGTTTTTAACTGGAGTTTAGAAACACAACAAAATCTGTCTCTTCGCTCTGTTTCAAAGTTTAAGAGTTTCAATTAATTAAGTTCTAAGAGTCGTTTTGATTCGGTTTTTGCTATCTTAATTAGATTTTACTAATTTTTTTATCTGAAAACGTGATTTTTTAAAAGATTTAGTTGTGTTATTTACTTCATCGGCCAGAATGGCTTTGCGAAATAAGAATTTCACTGACTTATCATAGCCCACGTTTTCTAGAACGTGTCGCTTAGCATCATAATCTTTCACAAAAATATATTAAGACTTGGGAGAATGGCCGAGGGCTAGTAAACGATCAAAAAAGGATTTGGGCAACGTACTAGCTATCAATTGTTTCACAGGGTTTACTTATTTTCCTGAAAAATCTGAAATTATAGAATTTGATAAGCAATTTTTAGTTTAATTAATTTCTGTCAAAAAATGATAAAACTTACATTTACGCAATAGAAGGGACAGGTTTTCCAATAAACTTCACGTTTACACATGCGCAGGGCAAATTTTTTCAACTGGGCAAATTTGTCTAAACAATTCGCTTATTTCATTGCATAGTTTCGTCGCAATATTTCTATTCCGGGTTTTTCTCACATGATCTGAACATTAGCGTATAGCTCACTAAGACTCATATTATTTCCGAGGTATCTTGGCCCAGATTTTAAAGCTTATGGGTGTTGAGCGGATAGTGGTGAATCTATTCGGGAGTCTGTTAACATATTGTAGTTCAAAGAACCTTGTCTTTTGCCCAATCGTTTTTATTTACAACAAATTGTTTGTTTTTTTTTCGCTTGTGTGTCAACTTGGAATTTGAAAGAAAAAAATGTAAAGATTTAAAAAAAAAAATAATGGCACTTTTTTCTGTACTTTCATTTTGAATAAGTGGTTTTGTCCGTTATTTTCTGCGATATTTGCACAGCATGGTTATCCTCTAGGATTTTCTCGAGGGTTGGCGGATTTTCAAAAAAAAATCCAAAATTTTGTTAACCCTTTTTAGGTCGACCAAAATGATTTTCCAAGCTCTCCCAAAGCACTAGCGTTGCAGGCAAAATTTTGAAAAAACAGGCGCACGTCTCCATCCCCTTTTCGGCGCGCGTCCCCACCCCCTAATTTTAGCGTCCGTCAGCCAAAAATAGATATCTCTAAATAGTACAAAGGGGGGATAATTTGGGTCGAAAGGGGGTCGAATCCTTGAAGGGGCAAGGCGATCCCCCCCCCCCCTAAATCCGCCCCTAGTTATACTTGTCTGGTCTTGGTGTTTGTTGGTCTGTTTTTATGCCTCCTTATAAAATGCTGTCAATCAAAAGTGCACAAATTTTGTAAATCATTTTGAGCATATTTGTTAGCATACAAAATGTTAGATTATTTTTCAAGTTATTTGTTATGTACGAGTTTTAATGTGAGTTTACTTTATCTTGAGTTGTCTTTTGTTGCGAGTTGTCTCATTGCGTAAAATATAAAAGTTTACGGCACAATTTAGAAATATTCACCAAACGCCGTGGGTTTTGTCGCGGGCTAGTGGGAATAAAAGCGCCTATCTATTTTGGATTGGTTTGCCAAAACGGATGTTATAAAGTGCCGCTGGGTATGTTTCGGTTGATCGGACGTTTCGGGGGAGGGGGCGTTTCGTTAGATTTCTCCTTTTAGCCGCATTTTGTGTCCAGGTGTCTCTTCTGGAATTGAAAAAATGCTTTTGAGCAATTTCGCGGACCATTTTTTCGCAGTCTTTTATCTCTTAAGAAGGTGTTTACGTCTTTGTTCTCAGTTGGTACTACAATCAATTGTAGACAGACGTAACACGAGCCACCCTTGTGCTTTGTTTTTTCCCATTTTCTACTTTTCACTGCCGACAACAAAGCATGGTCCCTTGTTTGTACCTGCTCTCTAATTGAGCTGCTCGCATTCTGCGGGACGCACTTGAGCGCAACTCCCTACAAACACTCGCAGTTGGTGTTTCTTTTTATCACTGAATACTTGAATGCCTCCTTGTGTTCTAAACCTGGATGTGCCGCCCGCTCGCCGCTAAACGTCGCCTTCTTTCTCCCTCTTCTCAACATCTCACGCCACACTTGTGACTTCTCAGGATCTTAAACCATCAATACCCCCAACCCTCATAAAACCTAATAAATAAAAAATGCCCCTCCGCAAATATGTCCCCACCTGATAGGCTGTGGTGTTTTTCGGTACAAAAGTGTGCGTAGTATTCCTTGGATTTTGTGTCGCCGCCGTTATTTCTTTTCTCTTTTCTCTTTTTTACTTGAGTTCTCTTTATTCTTCTGCTTGCCAACCCTGTGAAATATTCTACCGGTCTCCTCAGATCTCCGCCGTCCTTCTAAGTTGTGTACTTGTCTTTCATTTCCACCTCTTCTCAATTTCTCATCTCTCTCTACTCCGTTTGAATTTGCAGCATCCTTTTGAAGAAGAAGAAGAATTATCAACCAAGCACAGCACTTCTGTTCCAGTTGCCTTAACTTCCTCCCTCTGTATGACCGGACACTGAAGTAACTTTGAATCCAGACCAGATCTGGAGAAACAGCCGCTGGATACTTCCACCTCTGTTCATCACATCAAACATCAGTCAGTGGAGTTGCAGATAGAAACGGAACGGATAGATTGGATGATGAATCCACTTGCTAATACTTGGAACAAATGAACGATGGGGATTTGAAAGAGTAGTTCCGACCAGAAAAAAATCAAGTAACTTTGTTGTCAGCTTCTTTGATTGTCCTTTTTTGCGTGTTTAGTTTGACATTTGTATCCTCTTTTTGAAGTAACTCATCTTACAAATGTCCAAGTGTGTCAACGAGACACTATTTCTTCTGATAAATCAATCGCGCATCATCAATTAATCTACTCGCCTAGTACCTTTTTGGCAAGCACCACTTTAATTATTCAATTCTCGTTTCAACTCATCACTGCTCTCTTTCTTCTGCCTTTTTCAAAATCTGCTACTCTTACAAAAGGACACTCTTAAGTGCCGCCAATTGATCCTCAGTTGCAACTCTTTCACAACATATTTGCTGTGATTTCACAACTGAAGTGATCCACTATGACCTGACATATTTGGATCCTCTTGATCGCCTCTGAACAGTTTCATTTTAGCCATTTCATTTTTCACCAAATACTCGTTACTCCTCTGCCATTTTCTTCACTTCGTGTTGATGAAATCATGTAAGTTGATATTTCTGTGTTTAACCAAACTGTTTGCGAATATTTTGCTTCTTAATTTAATTTTTTGATCTGAATTAATCAAAAAGAATTAATCGAAAGACGGCGGGCTTTTTTCCACGTTGTGTGAGCAGTCAAAAATTTACCTTGATCTGAGAGGCAGCGGATTGTTTTTTTTGTGTCAATGAACGCAGTGAATATACTTATATAGGTCGTGATGATTTTTTTGTCATTTTTAGTATAAAGTTTGTTCACGCTCAAATTTGATTTTTCGCGGTTTGACTTGTGATTTTTTTTCAGTTCACTTCCTTTGTTACAGTCAGTCAAACTGCACAATTGAGCAGCAAAACTGTAAAGGTCACAAAACACGTGATTGACTTCTCGTTTCAAAATAGATAAGATTTTAGTTTTTTGATTTCCCAGCGGAATAAAAAGTTACCTAATGATCCAATTTTTCGAAATTTTATAACTTTATAATTTTATTTTAAAAAAGTGATAATTTTAAATTTTTCTTGATATTAGAAGAGCTTTAGGGGCCACTACTTTTTCTCAAATTGATTTAAAAAACAAAACAAGTTAGTTTTTTATGTTTCTTTCATTGGCACTTTTTCAACTCTGGTGGCTGTGTAGGTAAGTTATCGGGGCAAAGGCAAAAATTCAACTGAAACATTTTGAAAGTCAATAAAACTTTTAGAAATTTCGCACGTTTTTTCTTCTTGGTTTTATCCCTTCTCACGCTATGTAAAGAATAAAGTGATGACAGTATCTGTGTTTTCATTTCGCGTAACGCTTTAATAGGAAGACATAAATCGCTTGTTAATTATCCCAATTTGAAATGTGGTCTAAGCAGTCTCAAGTTCAATCCCCTATAAGTTTCAGAACAAGTGGTCGCTTGTTTATTTTTTTTTTATCTTTGAGCTTCGACATCAATATTTTTCAGATAGTGTAAAAATTGCTCGAAAAGTGGCCGGTAATTGCGTCACTTTCTTCGAACAATTTACTTTGAACAATATTTTTATGATGTTTTAAGACTTGACTTGGAGCAAAAAATGTTTTAGAAGATTAAAATCACGGATGAATTTTGTTTTTTTTTCAACGCAAAATCAGGTAGCTCAAATAATCATTGTCATGGGTCGAGTGATATATCGTATTCAGTCTTGATTCGAAAGAGGTTTGACAATTTCCCAATAGTTTTTATGTCAAGAAAATCCGTTTGAAGTTTTTTGATTTTGTAACCTAATTTGCAGTGACTAAAGCGATCGATCAGGCTTTTAATTTGAGGATAAGCTTTTACTTCAGCCGTGAAAAGTTAGTTTGATTCCAGTTAAAATGATATTGAAGTATTTTAGCGCTATCTTGGGAATAAAAGTTTTGCGCTTTCGTTCAAATCATTCTATATAACTACCGACAAAAAACGGCACATTTTTATTTTTTTTTAAAATGTTTTTTTTTTATTTTTGTTGTCGGAAATTTCTGTGCTACTTGTTCAGCAACCGGCCATTCCGGTTTGAGGAATCGGATTGTTTTTTTATTGCCTCAAGGATTCTATTAGTTCCATGATAAATGTTTTAACATAAAGGTTTTACTTATCGGCTATTTGTTCCCGCCACAATTTGGAAAAGAACTTTGTATTGATTACTTTTACCATGCAAATCCACGTACCTCAAATACACCTTACATAATAATGAGTCTACGTGGTATAAATATTTTGCGCTTTTTTGGTTGCGGCTTATGCTGCAATTAAAAATTCAAAAACAACTGTTGGGGGTTTGGAGAAAACGGTCTGCAGTTTTTGTTTTTCCGACCATATTGGAGTGAAAAGCGAGTTGAATTACACTCAAGTTATCATTTTTAAAGATTCTAAGAGTTAGCTGATTTATTGTTCAATTAGTTTATTAACTAATAGTTAAAGCTTAACTTAGTCGCACCACCACTAAAATTTAAACGCATGATACTGGTCGGAACATTCTGTTGGTTATTTTTTATTGTAGAGCGTTCAATGACATCGAAAACGAAAGTGTCAAATATCGACAAAAGTTGATGTTAACGTAAGTTTTTCCGTAAAGTTTGGAAAACTTTTTGCGCATTTGAGTGAAGTGGTATCGCTCGGCCAAAATTGTGACGCAAGTTTGGTAATTGCCAAAAATCTTGGGGGCTCTAATTGTTTTGGAAATCTTGTTTTCATACTTCTTTTGAAAATTCTGAAAAGCATACAAAGAGCGGCGTTCAAACGCCCAAAGTTTAAGTTTTTGCATTTATTCGCAGATTTTTCAGTTTAAATTGAGTTTTCTGTGAGTTGGCTTAATTTTTAGTGCAGAAATTCCGAAGGTTATGTGTTGAATGTTTTTGAGCGCCAAAATTATTAAGTTTTAGTTTTTTGGGTGGGTTTGTAACGTCACGTACTTGCCACAATCATTCTATTAATTTTATGATGAATGATTTAACATAAAGGGGCTACGTAAGATAAAGTTTCTGAGCTTTTTTGGTCGTAGTTCATGCTGCAATTAAAAATTCATAAAAAATTTTGTGTGTTGGAAAAAACTGTCTGCATTTTTTGTTTTTGCGACCAATTTGGAGTGACAAGTGAATTGAATTACGCTCTGACACAAGTTAGAATTGTTAAAAATACTAAGAAATAGCTGACTTTTTGTTCAATTACTTTATTAACTAGTTGTTTACACAAGCAAGGCTTGTGTTATAGTATGAACTATCTTTTTTTTCGAAACTAAGTAGCAAATATTGTTGCGACGCAAATATTGTTGCGATGAAGTGTGTTCATTTCGAAAGCGTCATTTTGATCAATAACCAGCTATTAAGTACAGCCAATGCTCAGGATTTTAACACAGACTATTCTTGTTCCGACTTTCGTAACGAAAAAAAAACGGAATATTTGTTCTTGGGTTGGTTTTTTTTTTCAGTTAAATTTCGATTTTTTAGCTAGCCATTTGTGACGGGTTTTTTTATCAATCAAAGAGTATTGTTGTCTTGAGCTTAAATTTGGAAAGATATTTTACTTGTGATCATTTTTTGTAAATCATGCGGCTTGAAAATGGTCATTTTGGTCAATTTGGGACAATTAACTCGCGATATTAACGTGTAAGCGGAGATATAATCCGTCATAGAAATCGTTCTAAATTGGTTGAGAGAAGCTCATTTGCCATAATTGATTTGTTAATAGGAGCGAAATTTATCACTTTATACTTGGTATGGCGTGTGGGGGGATGATTTTCACAAAAAAAAAGTTTCAAATTGAACAATAAATTCATTTTATTTTTTCTTACATTTAATTTTGTCTTGCTGTTACTGCTCAACAGACTGCTCTATAAACTGAGGCATGTTAGTTGGGAAATTTCTTTTTTTTTCAAATTGACTGGTACTGCTAATGCGTCATAATTGGCGTGCGTCATTTAAGAAATTTTGTAGACTTAAATTTTACTCATGTAGTTTTTCCCAGTAGCGTTATCGGTCAAATTTTTGCTTGTGTATGCGAATTGCAACTTCGCCTCTGTGTAAAGCTCAATTTAGTCGCACCACCACTAAAATTTAAATCAGGGATACTGGTCGGAACATTCTGTTGATTATTTTTTTTTGTAGAGCGTTTAATGCTACCGAAAACGAAAGTTGCCAATTTCGACAAAATCTTCGACAGCCGATGTATCATATTAAAGTCCTCTCAGCCGTGCACTGAAAATGATCTCCATTTATTCTGATTGACAATTAAACACATGGTATTATGGTATTATTAGAGATTAACTTTTACCTGGAAGCCTTCGAGGAAACACTAAATTGGGTGATATATTACAATAGGTTGTAGGTTCAATTTAAATAGCTAGATCTCTTTTGTTATACTTCGATCATTATTCACATTTCATTTTAAAAGCCATTTTTTGCCAAAAGAAGAGTAAAATTTGAATTTTTGAAAAGCATATCATCTGGCAGAGTAATGTATTTACCGAAACTATCATTTCAATTGATTGCAAATGAAATGACTATATTATGCATTCTAGTTCTCAAATTCAATACATGCACTGTGCTCAATCTTACCTCCTATTGTAACAGTGGTAGGTGAGTTAACCGATCTATCAGCAACCCGAAAACGGGCAGACCAGATCAGTAAACCGAAAATGAAATTTCCTGATCAGTACATCGAAAGTTGTGACGGTGTTCAGTTAACCGAAAATGTATTTTATTAAGTAAGAACGTTTTCAGAGTAGCAACGTTTATTTTTGATTGACCATTAAACTTGATAGAAAGTTTGCGGAATATAGTTATAAATTAAATTCTGCAGCTAAAGAATTGAAATATTGCAGTTAATATGGGTAAAAAGTCTTTCTATTTAGGATCATTTTATCCACGAGGGATAGGACCAACATACGAGCTGTACAGCTCATTACGGCGAACCGCTGTTGTACCCCTGCTTAAGAACTACATGCAATTTTTTGGTTATTTTTCTGGGCTGAGTAATGTTGCCTCACCCTCAAGCAACGAGCACGGATCATGGTGGGCCGCGAACATCCGACCTTTCGATTGAGAGGCGGAGACGTAACCACTTCACCACTGCTCCCTATTCTATTGTATTCGGTAATGCGTTCATTTTAAGCTTAGTTAGTACTTAATATGACGCAACCTGGTTACTTAATTGTTTCATAATTCGATTTACTGATATGATTATCGATTTATTGCACGCACACCTACAGCTATGGTAACATATCACCCTAAATTGATCTCCGACTTCAGTTCCAATGTACATTTAATTATAAAAATTTGAACGGTAATTGATTTAGGTAGAAACAAGACCAGCTAGTTATGTGCAAGTAGCACAGAACTTTCCGTCTACTTCAATTAAAAAGTTGTACAAAAGCAAAAAAAACGTTTGTTTTTTCTTTTGATTGATTTTTAATGATTTTACCATAAACTGTGCTCTTAATTTCATTCACTCTGAGTTTTTAATTAATCTGACTAACAGTTTCTTGATTCCCACTTTATTATATTCGGATCATTGA